TCTTTCCAGCTTCACAGTGTCAAATAAATCTACTAATACTCAACTCTCTCTTTTTTCTATATTACTTTAATTTTCCAGGCTTGCTGCCAAAATTATAGTCAATGACAACCCTCTCATATCCACTAGTATCTCAAGGTCCATACATTGGGCACTTTCCTCATGGTAGAAAATATGTATAGTACCTTACATAATTATCTCTTCAGATTCAAGATTACCTTAGGAGAAAGGCTTAGAGACACTTAGCCAATATCAACTGCTCTAGGAGATTTTTACCACTATCTTCTATCTGGAGCCTTCAATGTGGCCCTATTGATTATATGTACCCAGAATCATTTTCCTTAATTTTTCATTAAAGATATCAACCATTGAAGAAATACTATTAATCCCATGTCTCAATCTGAACAATGAAAATTAATAACACAACTAAAAATTTTTTTTTAGTTTTGCTGACTTCTGAAACTTTGGGAATGACAAAATAAACTTAACTTTTTAAGTATTTTGTGACTATTTCAGAAGGGACTCTTGCTTTGGAAAACCTAACTATATACATTTACAAGGTCCCTTTAAATTCTAGAATTCTGAGTCAGAAGTAATAGCATTCAGCTCTTTAAATTGATTCCTAGGAACAGGAAGACTCATCTAATTAGGGAAAAATCCACTCAGGAATATTTTGAAAATAATTTTATAATCTACAAACATCAGATCCTGGCAAGTTACTTAGATTCTCTGAGTGTACATGTCTTCATTTGTAAAAGAGAGAGAACATCAATATTTTAGAGGGCTGGTAAAAACTAAGGCCTGGCACGAATAAATGATCAATAATTATTTCCTTTCTTCTGTAACTAGTTGAGGCTCACAGGATTTCAGTTCAAATCTTATCAGTCACAAAAGCTCCAATGACTTTCAATACTTTAAATAAACATAATAATAATAAAAGCTTAAGCTTTCTTTTACCACATTTGTTTAAAAAATCTCTAATTTTATAAACACAATTACCAACAGTCTATTAATACATCTTAGCATTTGTTACATTTCCTTCACTTTCTTACACAAATTCTAGTCTATTACATTTTAGATAAAGGTATTCAGAAGGTCACCTCTCTTAATCTTTACTTTCTCTAGCCCCTCCTATCTGCCACAGCAAAAGAAAAGCTAGGTAAAGAGATTATCTAAGCAGTACTTAGATAGCTAGGACAGGCAAAGGTCAAACTCATTAAGGAATATATTCTTGAGACTCATAATGAAGTATAAAATTGGTGTTTTTGAAATATGGAACACATTAGGCATTAGAAAGAGAAAATATAATCAATCTTTTAAATTTTATATAATTTATACACCCTGGACAATTGTAATATAATAAATGAAGCTGCTGAATTTTAAAAATTTTATCATCAAAATGTTGGTGAAATTTGAGATAGAAGACAACATATTCTGGTTTAAAGTTCCTACCCAAGGTATAGGGAAATACACACTTTTGCCTAGTTGCCTCACAACCTTTCCCTCCCCCCAAGGTCCATAAATTTCATGCAGCCACACCTTTTTTTTTTTTTTTTATCTCTTGCTTAAACTCTTTTAGGACTCCACTTGAGCCAATTTTTTTCATGACTCCCTCTTCCGCTGATTTGATTAAGGAAGTAAAGTAGTAAAGTACCACTCACAATCAGGTACTCCAGGCATAAATATTTGAGGAGATCACCAAAATATCACCTTGTAATTTTAATTATTCCTACATGAGCTCAGACTTGTACCTTAAGAAATTAAGCCAGCTCTCTCAGAGGTGAGTATTTCAGGGATAAAAAGCTCCCTGTAGTCATGTCTTCATAATTGTATATTATTAAATAAATATATATTTAAAGTTAAAGCAGGATCTGCTACATTCTAGTGACATTTTAATAAACTAAGTAACCTTAAATCCAAAGACTGTAGGTTTTAGTAACTTAAATTACTAGTGATTTTTACCCAACAACAAAATATTGCTATAGATTTTTCGGGAAAAATAAGTACTGGGGGACACATTTTCAAATGAAGTTTTATTAATAAGTCAAGATAAGCAAGACCCAGCTTGAACTGACAGAAAACCTTCTTAGTATTTTTAAAATGCCCTTAACATTCAACTACCATGGGTCTTATGCATGTTCAAACCTGCAGTGTCAACCACCCTTTGTCTCCTGTGGAATCGCCATCCTCCTTTCTCCCAGGAGTATTTCCTAGATTTCCAATTCCAGTAGAAAAAAATCAATAAAGGATACCTACGGGAATAACTTTCCTAAAATACAATCACCAACTTAAAAAAAAAATCACTTAAAATAAGGCACAACCCAAAAAGAATGCTAAAATTTCTAAGTGCCTGTCATATTAAGCACTTATTCAAGGCATACCGAGTAGACAATATTGAGGATGAAAAAACTTAACTGGACAGTACATTTTATAATACAAGTTATCACTTGGCTTTACTATTTGTAAGATGAGATTCAAAGTTAGAAAGGAGTTGTCCATGGACAGATATTCTGGAACAAAGTTACAACAAAAAATTCTTGTCTCCTAAGCGTAGTATTCCCTTCAACAGGTTATTCTGTAATTATGGGCTTCACTTCAGTCCTTCAAACTAAACATTAAAAAAAAAAAAACACAATCTGTGTTTTAACGTGTGTATACCATGTAAAAAGAAATGTATTCTAGCATTCAAACATATTATTTCTCAAATATACAATGAGGTAACTAGTCAAACTTTACCAGTATTACCATACCTTTCACATAATTACATCACTGTGAAAAACATTTATTGATAGTAAAAGACTATCTTAAGCAACTTCCACACACAATTCATTAGTTTCGATAATGTGATAATCCAATAACTTGCAAGTTAAAAGAAACCATACCTAGATGGTTAAATGTTTAACCATCTAGGTGAGTTACACTTAAGAACAGAACTATGGTATAAAGCAAAGGATGTTACTTTGTGCCTGAAATTATTTCTCCCCAACATAAACATTAAATCAATGAAAGTAACATCCATGATTAGAAAACAGTTGGTAAGGTGGGTCACTCTTCCCCAGTCAAGTTTTCTAATCTGTAAAAGTGTAACAGAAATATAATCTTTGGAATAGGTCTAATATGTAAAAAGTAGAAAAGTGAAATTGTTTCAGTTAAAAAGGGGTTGAAAGCCCAAGCCCTGCTGGACTCTGAAACCTTCAGCAGATAAGTCCTCTGCCTCTTCGGAGCTATTTAAATGCAAAAATTTGTCTATGCTTAAAATTCCACACTGAAAGTTTGAAAAAATTAAGCCTTTTCCCATATTTTAAATTTCTTTCAATAATGCCCAAACCCCTCACTCTGGGTTATCAGTGCTAGCTCACAGATTTTTACACCTTCCATACCCTTCCAATCACTTCTTGAAGTGCATTCTAGTCATTATTCCAATTAGCAGACTTGGGGAGGGGGTGGGGAGAGCGTAAGGAGGCGGTACAGATTTCTTGGCTCGCACAACTAAAGTAACCTTTGTGGATTTCTAAGTACCATGCGGCGCTTGAGAAATGGGGAGGGAAAATAACTAAAGAGATTTAATTTTCAAAACCTATCTAAAACTGCAGTTGGTAGGAGGCGGCTCCCCGACAGCTGTCTTGCAAGAAAAATATTGAAGATCCATAGGCAGAACAGAGCCATATCGCAACCTAACTGTATCATCCAGAACTTTTACACAAATGTACAACGGTCAAAAAGACGAGAAGAAACCAGTGTAATTTACTTCAACGATTTGTTCGATGGCATAATAATGAATGAATTGGAAACATCACAGACTTGAATTCTGAAGGAGCCTCATTCTCAGCTCTGCCCCTATAAAACCTGAAGCAAATTCTCCTGAGTCTGGTGCTGAGAGGCTAGGTCGGGTTCAAAGGAAGCCTCCCCTTCTTTCTCCCGGCCTCCCTCCCAGGGGTTTGCGCCCCGGGCGGCGTGGCCCCGCGGGTGGGGGCGGTGATAGCCCCCTCACCGCTCGGGAAAAGTTCCACCGGCCGATTTCGGGCTGGGCCGGCCCTTGGCCCTAACCAGCGTCGCCTCCACCAACACCCGACCCGGCCGCCAAGGCCCAAGGGTCGCGCCCCCTCCCCGCGCCGCCGCC